TCGCCGTACGTCACTCCCTGCTTTGCTGCTTCCGGCTGCAGTGTAATCACTACAGCCGAAGATTTAGGGGCAATTAGCTTAGCCGCGACGCGCTTCTCCCTGCGCCGCTGCTGCCGCCGCTGTCGCTGCTCCTTTTTCCGGCGCTTCCTCGCCTCTTTGGCGACCCTCCTCACCGCCCCTGCCACTTGCCACTCGCTATCGGCACGAAACTCCGCTGGCGGAGTTGGCGCCGATCCGGCTGGAACACCGGCCGCTGCTCCCCTTCGTCTGCGGCTTGTTGGTGCCGGAGCCAACGCCGGGGGAGACAAAGGCGCCCTCGTCGGGGGCAAAGCTGTCGGCGCTTTCGCCGAGGCGGGCGCTTTCGACCCTTTCTTCACCGGTGCGCCAACCTGCGCGCCACGGCTGGTTGGTGGTTTCGGCTTTGCCGCTGCGGCCGCATACGAACCAGCCACGAGTGGGGGTCGGAGAAGCTTACCCTCCAACACGTCAAAACGCTGCTGGAAGGCAGCCATCTCTTGCCTCATTAGGCCGAGAAGATCGGCCTCCGCTGGCTGCGCAGGTTGGGATCCGCCTCCGCGCGCAGCGGCGAGCTCGGCCCTTGTCGCCCGGAGCTCAGCCTCCAGGGCAGAATTGGCAGCCGCCAAACGGGACAGCTCCCGCCGCATTGCGGCCAACTCCTTTTGCATAGCGGCCATCTGCCGCCCTGCTACGCCCTGCTGGGATACCGCCGACATAATGGCGGCTTCGGCGCGTTGAAGCACTCCGATTCGGCCCGCCTGAGTTTTTTGTCCAGCCAGCATGCGGAGTGCTTGCTTTACTTCTTTGCGAAGGCTCTCAGCGCCACCTTCGCTCGCAGATCCCTCGCCGCAAGACACCTCCATCTCAGAGGAGTCCGAGGGGGCGGCCTTTCCCAGAGCGCTCCCCTCTGCCGCCAGCCGCTCAGCCGGCTCGGTGCGGCTCCCTGCCGCTCTTATGGAGCCCTTCCCTTTGCCCCTACCCCGCGCAGCCGTGGGGATTTTGGGGGCCGGGGCCTCCGGCTCGTTGGAGGACGCCTCTCGGCCATCCTCCAACCTGGGACGTTTAAATACGCCCCGGTCTTTTTTCTGGCGTAGCGCCATGCTGACGCCAGAGAATGACGAGTCGGACTCCGAATCCGACACTCCTTCCTCTCCGAGGCCCGTGCCCGGGACTTGCTGGACGGGACCAGCGCTTCCCTACAAGCCCGAGAGCCACTTTGGCTCTCACCATCCCCTGCAAGCGAGCTGAGTTCGCTTGCCTTCTCCTGCACGTCTGGTGGTTTATTATTATTTTTTTTTTTTTTGTGTCTTCCATATTGGTCCCACGAGTATGGGGGAAATAAAAAGTCCACCCAGGGAGAGCCCCCTGTCCCTGGGTAAGTGTACATTTGTGTCCCAACTAGGGGGTCCACCGGTCCCCTAGCTGGGGGTGCGCTCACGACTGATGCCACTCCTCAGCCATACGTACCCTCGCCGCGCACCAGAACTTAGTATTGGAGGATTTTTTTATAGAGGTTGTCTTCCTCGCGGTCCGGGCGGTTAAGCCAAGACCCTCGTCCCGGCCCGAGTCATAAAATTATGAATACTCCTAGCGATATTAAAAATGATTTTATTTTATTTAAGGAATAGGATGCAAAATAGACCTTAACACATAGAAAAATCAATCACACTAGATACAAGGCGACGACTAAACAGGATTTTAGTTTCTTCAAAAATATTGGCTTCCAATTTTTTTTTATTATTATTTAGATGTATAGAAAATCACCTACCTGATGTTAATCAATCAACGTTACCCATGGACACCAGCAACACCAATACCTTGGCCTGGTCTAAATGAGAGATTTAGAGGATTTAGCTTCCGATAACCTTACTCGGTCTAATGAAACGCTGGACGTACCACGCCGGTTTTCTGAAAGGCCGTGCTATCAGTCCTGTCGAGTTAATCCATTCGAGCCGAAGTATGTCACTCTCTCACACTAAAAACTTTAAAACTTTTATGCAAGGTATAGGCCAAAGGGCTGACTAAGATCAAGTTTGGCTTCCTAAGGGCAGTGACGTATGCCCAAAAAATTTAAATTGTGCTTAGTGTTGTGCTTTTGGATATTTCGCTGTATATGATGATGATAATGATGAAATGGTTGAACATCTGTAAGGTAGCATGCTAAACAGTATTAAACAAACAGACTTAGAAAATAAATTTAACTAGTTTTAGTTGCACATAACATTATGTGCAAATTACAATTAGGTACGTTTATAAAGAAAACACATTAACATTTTCTAACATACTGTCTGTGGTTTTTCGAAAAAAATGTCTGTGACAGTGTCTGTGATATTTTTGATAGTGATCAGTGCGTGGATATGGTTCAGGCCACGGTGCTTAATGCCTCCAGTTTGCTCTGGTGCTATCCCAATTTTAGGGCATATGCATCATATGGTAAATCTAGAAAGTAAGTAAAAACAATAAGACAGGCATGATTTTGATGCGTGTGCGGTGTCTGGGAAAGCGGTTACCGTGTCTCGCCTTCAATTTCCGCGCGAAACATCTCTTTGTGTGATCCACGAATTATTGTTCCGGGTCTGGGTGTGAAATTTCTGTGAAAATGTAAGTTTGTAAACGCACCCACTACACGATAATCGTGAAGTGGGCAAAGTTTAAGATGTTAAAAAGAAACCAGATAAGTTTATTTGTGTAGTGATTTTTTATTCTATTGCATAGAACATTCTCGAGCACGTGCAAACGAACTGAGATTAAAGCGCCCACTCTTAGGCATTAGGTTGAGTTTGACACTTGGCAAGATCCTCCTCTTCCTCGCGTCGGTTTCCTCAATGATGGTCGTAACTACCTCATGGAAGCAGTGTACTGCGTATTACTCTTCGCTGTCTATTTCTATTTGCTGCTTAGTTTAGAGCATCGTGCATTGTAGTGCTCAGAGTGGTGCGAATCTGATTCGTCTAACACATTGGCCTTCTGCCTCTAGGTTTCTTTTCTTCTTTGCTTGCTCGCTTTGCCAGTGATCAATAACTTTTCCAAATTATCATTGTTCCTTCTCGCAGTGTCGCAGGAAGAGATCCTTGTGTAGATCTTAAGCTCCTGGATGATCGATACATAGGTGCGGTGTGCCGAACATGGAATTCCTAGCATTTTAAGCCAGCACTACATCTCGAAAGCATGCGCAATGCGGTCACAGTTTTTTTTTTGTGAGTGGAAAGTCATCAAATGACTTCTCCCGCCCAGGGCCGGGCGGGAGGGAGTGTCAGACTTTTACTGGCTAAAAACCCCCTGTTCCTTCTCCTGCTCTGGGCCGAGGTCGCGGTGCCTCATTGCGCTTACCCCGCAACCCCGGCTGAACATCAGCCCTATAGGGCCCCGTCTGTGGTGGTCTATTGGCTTTTTAAGGCGCGCGCGGAACGCTACGCGCCGTACACTCGGGCCTGGTTCCGTGGAGCTGCCCTCACTCGCCGACCGCAGACCTGCGCTTACGGTGGCCGGAAATCATCTCTCGATCCCCGACGCCCGGAATGTCGCCTATTGCAGCGGCTGGGGCGTGAGTAGGAGGATTGCTCCCTCACGCGGGCCGCCTCCCTCTTTGCGAGCATAACTGCTACACAGAAGGAGGTGACGGCGTCCCAGTTCCTCTCACTCCGCACCATGGCCTCGACTAAGGCCGGGCGCGAGAAGTCACCGCCGCTGATCACTTCCCTGAGGACACGGCGGTGCTCAGCCCAGGCAGGGCACGACACGCCCGAGGTTTCGCCCTCGTGGAATTCATCATCATTAAAGCACAACTATAAGAAAACTTAGGTACAGTTTTTTCCTCTGGTAACATTTGTGGGACCTTGTCATTTTATTGCTGTTGCAGTATAGTAGCATTATAATGTAACTCTCGGGCGATAAAACTTTTGCCAGGCGTTGTGAAAATATGAGTGAACTAAAAACTATAAACCTTGAATGAGTGAATGAATGAAAACTTTATTTGCTAGAATATAGGTTATACACAGTGACGACAATTTTAGAGTTTTACTCTATTCGACATACATCAAGTCGTGCAAATATGTATTTGTAACAACTGGGTCAAAAGAATACATATTTAGAAACGTATTACATACACAACTAATAAAAAAAAATTTAACTAAAGTGTAATCCTTAACTAAACTGTAAAAATCTAAGCGAAGTAAACTTTCTAAAAAACAATAACTACTATGTCCTAAAAAAAGCAATTATCTAAACTAACCGAAATATTATACAGATACTGCCTAAAACTACATAATTTAAAGTCAAATGGTAGGGACCGAATTTAAAAGCGAAAAATAAAAAAGTATGCCTAGTGAAATAAGATAAAACAGCAAATAAATGTGTCGAAAAGTGAACCCAATAAGTGTAGGTAGCGTATGAGCTATAGAGTAAACTGCGAAATATCAGTTACTTTATAACGTACCTATCTTAAAACATAATAATATGTTTCAAAAAACACCCAGCGCCATCTATTGCATACCTCAAAGAACTAAATAGCGTAACAACCTGTGGTAACAACTTATAACAGTGAGTAATTCGTTGACTTATTTATTTCGGTGTTTTTTATATGTGCGCGTTATAATCTGTTTTGATTATTCATAACTGTTGAATGAACTACTGTTTAATTTAAAGAATTACAAGTAAATTACCTCATTGTGTTTGAATAATTAATTAAGTATTTCAAAATGTTTTAAAAATGTTTATATTTATATTTATATGTAATACATGAGTTCGATCGAGGTTTTCGAATATCGTAAGTAACTTATCACTGTTGATATTGCTTCGAATAGCCAAAATATATCAGGCAAAAATATCGTGTCGCTGTTCAACAGCGAATTATATGACAAAGTTTGAAATGCCCAACTTGTCCACATAAAAATTAGAGGAGGGTCTTTCCTCCTACTCGAATTGAGCAACAAGTTCTACATTATTTTATTCTAATTTTTTTATTTAAGACCGTAGCTGGGACTTCACGGTTCCTCGAGATATTGAAGGTTTTTTTTTCTTTTTTTTTCCCTGTCCCTGTCCCTGTCCCTGTCCCTGTCCCTGTCCCTGTCCCTGTCCCTGTCCCTGTCCCTGTCCCTGTCCCTGTCCCTGTCCCTGTCCCTGTCCCTGTCCCTGTCCCTGTCCCTGTCCCTGTCCCTGTCCCTGTCCCTGTCCCTGTCCCTGTCCCTGTCCCTGTCCCTGTCCCTGTCCCTGTCCCTGTCCCTGTCCCTGTCCCTGTCCCTGTCCCTGTCCCTGTCCCTGTCCCTGTCCCTGTCCCTGTCCCTGTCCCTGTCCCTGTCCCTGTCCCTGTCCCTGTCCCTGTCCCTGTCCCTGTCCCTGTCCCTGTCCCTGTCCCTGTCCCTGTCCCTGTCCCTGTCCCTGTCCCTGTCCCTGTCCCTGTCCCTGTCCCTGTCCCTGTCCCTGTCCCTGTCCCTGTCCCTGTCCCTGTCCCTGTCCCTGTCCCTGTCCCTGTCCCTGTCCCTGTCCCTGTCCCTGTCCCTGTCCCTGTCCCTGTCCCTGTCCCTGTCCCTGTCCCTGTCCCTGTCCCTGTCCCTGTCCCTGTCCCTGTCCCTGTCCCTGTCCCTGTCCCTGTCCCTGTCCCTGTCCCTGTCCCTGTCCCTGTCCCTGTCCCTGTCCCTGTCCCTGTCCCTGTCCCTGTCCCTGTCCCTGTCCCTGTCCCTGTCCCTGTCCCTGTCCCTGTCCCTGTCCCTGTCCCTGTCCCTGTCCCTGTCCCTGTCCCTGTCCCTGTCCCTGTCCCTGTCCCTGTCCCTGTCCCTGTCCCTGTCCCTGTCCCTGTCCCTGTCCCTGTCCCTGTCCCTGTCCCTGTCCCTGTCCCTGTCCCTGTCCCTGTCCCTGTCCCTGTCCCTGTCCCTGTCCCTGTCCCTGTCCCTGTCCCTGTCCCTGTCCCTGTCCCTGTCCCTGTCCCTGTCCCTGTCCCTGTCCCTGTCCCTGTCCCTGTCCCTGTCCCTGTCCCTGTCCCTGTCCCTGTCCCTGTCCCTGTCCCTGTCCCTGTCCCTGTCCCTGTCCCTGTCCCTGTCCCTGTCCCTGTCCCTGTCCCTGTCCCTGTCCCTGTCCCTGTCCCTGTCCCTGTCCCTGTCCCTGTCCCTGTCCCTGTCCCTGTCCCTGTCCCTGTCCCTGTCCCTGTCCCTGTCCCTGTCCCTGTCCCTGTCCCTGTCCCTGTCCCTGTCCCTGTCCCTGTCCCTGTCCCTGTCCCTGTCCCTGTCCCTGTCCCTGTCCCTGTCCCTGTCCCTGTCCCTGTCCCTGTCCCTGTCCCTGTCCCTGTCCCTGTCCCTGTCCCTGTCCCTGTCCCTGTCCCTGTCCCTGTCCCTGTCCCTGTCCCTGTCCCTGTCCCTGTCCCTGTCCCTGTCCCTGTCCCTGTCCCTGTCCCTGTCCCTGTCCCTGTCCCTGTCCCTGTCCCTGTCCCTGTCCCTGTCCCTGTCCCTGTCCCTGTCCCTGTCCCTGTCCCTGTCCCTGTCCCTGTCCCTGTCCCTGTCCCTGTCCCTGTCCCTGTCCCTGTCCCTGTCCCTGTCCCTGTCCCTGTCCCTGTCCCTGTCCCTGTCCCTGTCCCTGTCCCTGTCCCTGTCCCTGTCCCTGTCCCTGTCCCTGTCCCTGTCCCTGTCCCTGTCCCTGTCCCTGTCCCTGTCCCTGTCCCTGTCCCTGTCCCTGTCCCTGTCCCTGTCCCTGTCCCTGTCCCTGTCCCTGTCCCTGTCCCTGTCCCTGTCCCTGTCCCTGTCCCTGTCCCTGTCCCTGTCCCTGTCCCTGTCCCTGTCCCTGTCCCTGTCCCTGTCCCTGTCCCTGTCCCTGTCCCTGTCCCTGTCCCTGTCCCTGTCCCTGTCCCTGTCCCTGTCCCTGTCTGAACAACAGAAGAATTACGATTGCCTTGCAGACCTTATGGAGATTAGGAATTAGGATATTTAGGGATCAAGGAATGATTGGGGGAGGGGAAGGATCGGGCCTTCGGGAATCTCACTCACACGGCGAAACAAAACACTATTTTTCTTCTTTAGGGGATCTTGATGATCGGGTCTGGGTACCATGTGTGCGTGAAAATATATGTTGTGGTTACCACAACCACGATACAGGAGAAAATCCTAGTGTGGGGCAACAAAAAAAAAAAGACTCGCATCGTGAGAAATTTAAATGTGGAAGAGCCATGTTTGGACATTCGGGTCGGCTCGACCGGAGTGATACCACACTCTTTCAGAAATCCGGCGTGAAACAACAACATTTTTGTGTTTCGCCGTGTGAGTGAGGTTACTGGAGCCCCAATCCTTCCCCCCCCCTCAATGCCTCCCCAATTCCATAATCTTCAAATTCCTAATCCCCAAAAGTTCGACAAAGAACTCGTAACTTCTAACTGCTTAACGGCAGGTAACCCGTCTGCCAGGTTGCCAACGTATCACATAAAACAATCAAATTATAAGCTTGAAATCGCCAATCCGGATTGAAGACGGAAGGCACATTGAACGCAATACAGAGAGTATTGCGTTCAATGTGCCTTCCGTCTTCGCGTGAGAAGGCCTTAGCTCAGCAGTGGGTTAGTTTCAAACCGATAATGTGATTAAGCCAAAAAAAACCGTTTAGAATTGTCGCAAAAACAATTATACTTACTTAACATAGTCATAAATAATGACATACCTATTAAAATTCTATTATTATCGGTATCGTAAATCTAATGAACATAGAATTTGTAAAAAAACGAATTTGGTTATAAATAAAGATAACATGAAGGTAAAGGGAAAGTACAGTACGAGCTATTTATGAACATGTAAAATCATATTATATACCAGAAAATCTTTGGGTAGATTAATTGTTGAAAAAAAGGTAAAAAAATGTGATCTACTTTTTTTTCAAATTCTATGACTCTATCTTTAGATACAAAAAAAAAAATATTAAAATGTGAAAATAAAATGATGAATTCCTGTATTTAGATAGTTAAGTTTTTGGCCTATATATATTTAAGAATTCTTTTCTAAAACAGAACCGCATATTTTTAAGCACAGTTTCCTTTCAACTCGCTGGCGTATCTATGGGCGCACCGCAGGGCTCAATATTAGGTCCTTTTCTATTCTTAGTTTATGTGGATGACCTGCCCCATTGGTTCCAAAACATGATAACACTTCCCTGATTTACAGATTTTTATAAAATAAATAGACAATCAAACAAATATGACGAAGTTTATGATGCCTAAATGAAGGTTCAACATTGGTTTACAATAAAAAACTAGTAATACTAAACGATAAAAAGACTAAATGCATTACATTTATTTTACCAAATGTTAAAAGTAACATATGTGGTGATATATTATTAAATGATCAGAAATTAGAATTTGTAAAAGAGACTACACTCCTGGGGATTACTGTAGACGACAAGTTGCAATGGGGGCCCCACATCAGGTCTCTAGCAGGACGATTGAGCTCTGCAGCTTATGCTGTCTGCAAAATCTGTCAGCTAACCGACGTAGGCACGTCAAGACTAGTGTACTTTAGCTACTTTCACACTATGGAATTCATCACTATGGAATTCTGTTGTGGGGACAGGCATCCGACGTTGAGTCTATCTTTATCTTGCAAAAGCGTGCCGTCAGAGCTATATATAACTTAGGTCGTCGCGAATCTCTCAGAGAAAAGTTTAAGGAGATCAACATTCTGACCGTACCGAGACGATTTATTTATGAAAACATTATGTATGTTAGGAAAAACCTACACTTATTTGTATAAGTATCTGACAAACATGATTATCATAGTAGACATAGGGATTGATTGAGTCAGCATTTATTTAGATTGGCAAAAGTGCATGAGTCGATCCTGGGATTCTATGTTAAACGTTAGAACAAAATCCCAGTTGAAATTCTAAATCTAAATGAAAGCAAATTTAAATTATGTATAAAGAAAAAGAAGATAAAAATGCCTGGAGGCTACCTGGTCATACTTCACAGGATGTTAAGAGGAGTTTTTGATTTCAATCATTAAATTGTACACCATGTTGTTAATTGTTGATGAACTTCAAAGTTTTTGTAAATGTGAATGTGTAACCTTTTTAAGTTAGACTTGTAGAATATAGGTACTGTGTCAGCTGGGAGTTGTCAGAGGCCTCATTGGCGGTGGCACGGGCAATGGATCGCTCGATTCCCCTATAATATGGTTGAGTTTGGCGGTGCTGGTGTTCATGTCATATTCGCGAACGGGCGCCGCCTATTGGGACTGGTCATCTCCAGGCTGTCTAAATGTGTTTCCTTGAGGTTAACTTCTAATTCTTTGCCTAAACATTAGTGTTACACTGTTCTTTTATATCTGAACCGACTAAATGATGTAACAAAGAAATGAATTGTAAAACTGATTGAAAAAGAGTAACCATGGAGTTTCTTTTTCGTTCTTCTCCATCGGACTTAACACTTTGGAACGAGCAAATAGCTTCACTAGAGGACAAACGGACAGACGGACAGACTGATACGCATAAATTTAAACCTATTGAAATATTGTTTTTTGTCTATTTTTGCTTTACGTGTGGCCTAATTGAAATAAATGATTTTTGACTTTTTTTACTTTTTTTTTCACTTTCCGATCGGGCAGCGATGACCACTTTATTAAGATCCCCACTGTATAACAGAGACACGTGAATGGTAATGTCGAAAGGGTCGTCCACGAATATAGCACCGACAGTGTAATGTTAAATATTCATGACTAAATGAAAACACGTGATGTAACATAACTGTTGTTTTTGTAAGGGGCAATCAACATTGTGTTAAGTCTCCCGTTTAGGGTAAGGTGAAAGGAATTTTCGGACTGTTATTATCTAAAACCTAATCACATACATTATTGCGTTTGTATCCTTAACCTTCGCTAAACATCAGCCCTATTTGGCCCAATCTGTGGTGGTCTATTGACTCTTTGAGATGCGCGTGGTACGCTATTATATCGCTCTCTTGGTTCTGCTACTACTTAGGCGACGACGACCTTTTCTCGCCTCAACTGATTCCACCTTACGGTGTGTTTTAATATTAATTGTATAATGAGTTGATTTTCTCCCGAAATCAAAAAACAAATAGCCCAAAACCCCAAAAAAAGCTGGCTGTAACATCTCGCCCCGCAACACGCCGATTGCTTACTATGAGTTGAATCGCTAATTCAACACTCACAAATGCGATGGAACTGGCTAAAAAATATTAATTATTAATAATATCTGATAACGAGTTTATCTAAGCATATTATGGCGTCGGAAGGCCGATTGGAAGATGGCGGTAGCTGTATGTAACATTGATGCAGATAAACCGATCATGTGTAATTCAGACTCGTTAGTCTATAATATTATCAGTCTGTAAATAAGAAAAGGCCTCTTTTTGTACGGAGAAGGAATCAGCACAAAATACCACGCTTGCTCGAGACCCGCCTTGAGGTAGGTTAGGAATTTCTTACGAATTATATGAAGCTAGTTTTTGCCCGCGACTTTGTTTGCGTGGCATAACGACTCCCTGTAGATTTTTGGTAAAAAAACTATGCTATGTCCTTTCTCGAGTTCCTTAATATGTCTGTACCAAATTTCAGACAAAAATATTCAGTAGTTTAGGCGTGAAGAAAAGACAGACAGACAAACAGAGTTACTTTCTCATTTACAATACTAGTTTGGATTATAAGTTTGTGGCGACGCACATAGATGACGACGCGACTCATACCTTTATTGCGCAAATGAAGTTTGCGTGCGAATAAACACGGATAGAAAATCTTTACGCTCAACTGTTAGGCAGTAGCGCTGCATCATCAGGGATGATCACCTCACGGTGTTGGAGGATCCTCCTTTTACTCTCTGTTCTTAAAAAGTGCAAGTTTCCTCACAATATTTTGCTTAAAGAATTTATCTGTATCAGTCCTGGGATACTTAGTTGCTCTAAGTATACCCCAGTATTGTTCTGATGAACCTCAGTTGAGTATCGTCAATGTCAATATTTTCCTATGCTTTGGTTGCGATTAATCCACCACAACAAGACCTAGAACCTAATTTTTAGACCCCTCGAAGAATTTTATGGATCTTTTAAGAACTCTTCTGTCTAAAACATCATTCGCGAGACGTCGACAGCCTGTAAATCAGCCACTGCGTCAATTTCAAATTAGCAGATAGTTACCTTAAAGACGTTTTTTGTAAAAAAACGTGATTTTTGCAAAAAAAACTGGTTGTTTGTCCTTCAATTCCCCTTATACTAACCTAGACAATCAAGATGCCAACCTTGACCTTTTAAAGAAAAAAATTCAAAGAATCCTATTAGTAAAACAAGCCCTGTTTCTGAGCAAAAATTTATCAAAACGTGCGTAGCACTCAAACATGTATTCGTTTTTGTAATATATTGGAACTTAGTATTTTTTTTTCAATCAACTCGTATGGTATATAAAAGAAAGAGCGCTGAAAAAAATTTACATACATTTAATTGGTTTCGAGTGAAAATGTTAGTGACAGTGTATGTGATATGTTTGGTGGTGTTCTGTGTGTGGCTGTGGGTTAGGTCGAAGACCTTAACGCCTCCAGTTTCTCCTGGAGCCATCCCAATTTTAGGGCATACGCATCGTTTTACCGGCTTGCAAGGTAAGTATATGTAGAAAGATAATCCGAATATTTATTTGTATACAAATATAATAAAGATACAGAAGCACTGCTGATTACTTTGTACTTCATCAAACTTCACTTCAATAAAAATTACCTGTCTAATAATTTAACTCAAAGACATAATATGACGATATTATTTCTTATTATTTTAATTTATACTCCTATTAATAATATTAATAATGTTGGAAGAAAAGCGAAAAACTAATCAGAAATCGTATTTTTTTTTATTTATCAGATTTAATAAGAAAAACATATTTGATTTGATATAATTTATCAGCATATTATGCATTGTATGTCTACAGGGCCAAACTTGACTGTATCTATGTCTTTTTTAAATATTTGCGTGCATTTTACATTATATGTTTACTCACGTGAAAATGATCTTTACGACAACTGTCGTTTTACAAATTACAAATTTTCACCATTTTATTATAAAATGTTGTATATCTTTATGCGTGCTGAACAAAAGCCTCTTCTCCCACGAATAAGGAATGAGTACTGCTTAAAGCGGTTTGCCACAGTCTTCTTTGCTTAAAAAGGTTCTTAAAAATTCGTGGCTTTAAAATACACAAACATCAAGGCCGATTGGCAGTGGCATCTTAGCTAAACTTCAATGCTTTATTGCATGCCATGACGTTAACATAAAAACAGTTGGAATGTTAGACATAGGAGACAGGATGAAGGTGTTTTTGAATAGTAAATCAAAATTTATTCAAAATAACGACTTACTCACGTGATTTCACTAAGAAAACCTCGACTAGTTTCAAGCCACAACGGGACTCTTATTCATGCGCAGCGTGCGCGTCGATGCTTCGTCGCGCAACCAAGTGGTCGAGTTTCTTTTGTCAAGGGAAATGATCAAATGACTTCTTCTTTTCCCGCCCAGGGTAAAGCGAGAGAGAGAGTGTCAGACTCTTACTGACTAAAAACCCCCGTTCCTTCTCCTGTTTTGGGGCGAACTGGTCGGCTTGAGTCGTTATTTAAAGTTGTTAATTAACGTGAGTAAGGGCTGATATTTCAATGGTTAGATAAAACTTACCTGGGGAATAATTATGATGATGTTTGTATAAGACAGGGTAGGTAACATTTATCTGACTATTGAATGGGCGTGGTGACCCGAAGGTTAAGGAGCCCGCTTCTCATGCATGAGGTTCGAAACCTGGCAAGTACCAATGTGACTTATTTCCAGTTACTTATATGTACTTTCTATGATTATTTAGACACCACTGACATACGGTGAAGGTAAACATCGCGAGGAAACCTGTACTTATAATTTCTAATTATAAGTTTGCAATCACCAACCCGCATTGAGCAAGCGTGGTGATTAATGCTCTTACTTTCTCCGAGAAGAGGCCTTTGCTCACCAGTGGGCACTTATATAAGCTGATAATGATGATGACTATTGAAAAATCAGCCCTAAGTCGTTATTTTCAATAAATTTACGACGAAGAAGAGAGGAAGAAAAATAAATTATTTTTTAATGAAGGTGCATATTGTTTAGAAAAATATTAATTCAATAGTACTTACCTGCAATAGTTTCACTGTTGCCGATTGTTGCTATTATACTTGGAAAGTTACATTGGTACTTGGTTTCGAACACGCTCCTTCATTGCCACCATGACATTTACGTCAATCACATAAACAGCGTTTACGTGGTTTCTATGCACCTTATTATTTCAAGTTCAAAGTTATGGAAATTACCGAACTGATTTAAATGAAACTTGGTTCTTATATCCAATGCATCAAGGTTTTAAAATATGATTTAATGGTTTTATGTTTCAATGGAAAATTTAATTGCCTTTCGCTGTCTTTCTAAGCTCTTTTTGAAAATATATTTAACTAGCGGTCGCCCGCGGCTTATATTTTTTAAAGAATAATTTAAGACCAAAATTAGGCAAATCGGTAAAGGCATTGTTGAGGTTAACATTACACCGATAAGTGGCATTGATTTTTATATAAATGAATTCTACTTTTAAGACATTGATACACATATAGCGTATAAGTACCAAGTTTGATTAAAATCGGTTTTTAATCCATATCATATCCATCCAATAACGAACGCCGACGATCGCGCACCTATTCTATGTATGTATGTTTATTTATTCTAATAGGATTTATGTAAGTAAGTGTATAAAATATATATTTATCAGTAAAATCACCTTCATCTCTGCATCGCCCAAAGGTTCGACTGGGAGAGAATGCCTGTGGCATTAAGTCCACCTTGTACACAGATGTATGTGCAAAAGTGTAAATAAATAAAATAAATAAATATTCTTCTACTGTGTCTCGAATTACCACTATTGAAAGTTTAAGATTGTAGACTTGAATGGAACTATTAGTTTTCGCATTACCTACAATGACTTAATCTACAATTCATATTACATCCACATATAAAACAACTTTTTGTTTTTAAGTGAACTCAAAAATACATATTGATTTTGCATAAGTCGATGAGTTGACGTCCCTACGAGTACTTGAACTAATTGTTTATGCTTCGTAATACTTGTGTTACGCATGTGTCTTTGACCTTTCAAATTACCAATAATTTGGTTAATGTATTAAATACAGTAATACTTGGTTAAATGAGACATCAAGGGACCTGCAAAGTCATTTCAATTAATTAAATATGTCTCACCATAGTTACTATTAAAAAACATTTATTTTAAAGTAAATCTTATTTTACAGGCATATGGAATACATTGGAACAAATCAGTAAATTTACATTGGAAAATGGGGGGATTTCCATCTTAAAAATCTGTGAATATAAGGTATACGGTAAGTAAAGGATTATTATGCACAATTTTATCTTTACAATAATAAAGTCCTCTCAAATATAACGAGGTCTATTTTTGAAGTGATCACCAGAGATGGGTCTAATACGGCCGACGCATGTTTTGTTGTCCTCGGAGCAGGAGACGGAACTTGCTGGTTTTTAGTCAATAAGAGCCAGATACTTCTTCTTGACCAATCTAAAGTGGAAGAAGACACTTGATAAATTGACGACCTTAAAAAAACCATACTAAAATGGTCGCAATATCACCTACAAGTAAAAAAACTGCTCCTTTTTGGAAGAACAAAAATGCGTTAGAGCTATGATGATGAATGGCCTTTTAAGTAAAAAAATGCGTCCCGGCTATATTTCTGTACCCTTTAAAGGATGTTATTATACCTACACATAAACCTTTCTCTCCAATCACTCTATCGATTAAAAAAACCGAGTCAAAATTCGTTGCGCAATTTTTATGATTTAAGCGTACATAGGGATATAGAGGTAAAGAAAGCGACTTTATTTTATACTATGTAGTGAAAGAATTACTATTTTTGACTATTTTTATCATTCTATAGATGCCTTAGTATTCCAAAGATTTGAAACAGAAATTCACAAAAAAAAAAAATGTGTTATCTTTACCATGGAAAATAAACAAGTTATGTATGTGTGTTTTCAACTTAATTATTTTATTTTAAATAAACGTGTTTTTTGTATAAAATTGTTTTTAATTTAATTATTTTGTTTTAGTACTTACCGATCCGGATTTAAGTCTTGAGGCGTACAACATATGTTTGAACAAGATGTACATGTATCATTTTTCGGATGATTTGGTTGCTAATGGACTCGTCACCGCTGATGGTAATGTGTTGTTTTAATTTTGTTGTTATATATTTCTAAATAAGAGAAGCGAAACTACTCATTATATTTCGTGAAATTCAACCATTCATAACATTTATTAGTCTTAATTTTATTTCATTTCAAATGGAGGAATATCTAGTCAATATTGTAGAAAACCAGTTAAGATGCCCATTTAATTTTTTATATATAGTTCAGCTATTAAAGAAAATGCGTAGATGGCGCTGCTGTGTTTTTATGCATTGTTGTTATATAATTACATCAATTATCCGGTGTTAGTTGAAAGAAATATTTTGGAAATAAAATTGTTGTACATCAGGCAATTATTTTACAGTTACACAATTCATTTATAAAGGCTTTCCGCTAAATATTAAGCAAAACCTACCTAAGCTACTGATAATATTTCAGTAGTAGAACAGCATGTTTCGTATTTCAGCAAACTCTACTTGTATTTCAGCAAACTCTACTTGTTTATTACCAGGATAACCCTTCCAAATTTCCTATTAGACTAGACTAGCCTCGGCTACAGCGAAGCCGAAACACGGCACGCACTGTGCTACTGCGAATGAGTTCATGCAGTACTATACTATACTATCAAAAACTATGTAGTTCTGTCTGACTATTTGATAATAAATATGCCTTTTTTTACAGCGCAAACTTGGAAAGTACATCGAAAATTAATTAACCCAGCATTCAACCAACAAGTTTTAAACACGTTTATAAATGAAATGAATGTACAGGCAAAACGGCTTGTGTCCGAAATATCTACTATGGTTGGAAAATCAGTGAATATGCGCAAACCTCTAATCAAATTTACAATGAATATTACTAGTCGTAAGTACCCACATAATAATATTAAGTATAGAAAACTTTTTATATGCTAGAGCGACAAAGCTGACTGATAGTAAACAATGGGATGGCCCATGGAAACTCGCAGTACCAGAGGAGTTACGAGTGCGTTGCCAGCTTTTTGGGGATTAGGGTTTCGGAGATTTGGGGATCGAAGTAGGGGAAGACAAATGGGGTCTCTGTTAATCTCACTCAGACTGCGTAACACTACGCTGTAGTTGTTCCATCCTGGTTTTCAGTGAGGTATTTCGGTCGAGCAGACCCATTTATTTTACGTTGGTTCTCAGTGAGACTGTGGTATCATTCCAGTTGAGTAGTCTCAATCGTGCCGGCGATTCTCTTTCCCACACTTTTATAGAATACTAGCTACTCTGGCACGGTTTCACTCGCTGCTCCTATAGATGGTAGCGCGATGTTTTATAGCAACATTGTAGCTATATATGTATCTGTGAAAGAATTTTGGAAATCCAAAGATTACCTACCCCCTACATACAAACTTAGTAATGTTACCTCTTTATAATTTTTGTATAGATGCTACTTATTGTAAGTATATAGAAAATCCATTTTGTTGCAGGAACGACTTTGGGATTAAATGCCGAAGACCAAACGTTGATAGACAAGGATTACGCGCATGCGTTTGAACTTTTGTCCTTTTTATATTATGAGAGAGCAATGAAACCATGGCTGCACTTGCCTTTCTTCTTTAACAGGAGTTCTTTGAAACGTCGACAAGACAAGCTTACGGAAACAGTGAGAAATATTCTCAATCCGGTGAGTTTTGTTTGAACCATTCGTACTTATTTTTTGTTTGAGTCAGTACTGACTGATTATGCTTTAAGGGCATTAAGGCTAACGATAAAATTCAGATGGCATTAAATAAAGTTTTTCTCTCATTTTGTCTTTTTTTAATCATTGCCAGAGTTACACCCGGTTTCTGAAAGGATTGTCAACGCTAAAATTAACTAATCTCCTGTTAAATCTCTTGTCAAGTCATCTGATTGGTTGTTGATAATTCAGTCAACCAATCAGATGACTTGACAAGAGATTAAATTGATTTTAACATTGATTGGCCTTTCGGAAACCGGGTGTTAGTGAGTTTTCATTTGTCATAATTTGACGCTTGTTTGTTTTTTGTGTACTTTCTAAGGTTTGATATGTGTATACTTTAGCCCGATAATTTAGCCTAGAGAGAAATACTTATATGACTGAAATAATGCAAATTATTTTAATGTCGTGTTTATATGTTTTTAGATAATACAAAAGAGAAGATTGGAAATAAAGATGAATGCGTACAACAGTGATGAGAATAATGGTACGTATCATTTAGTTTCTCTGGCAGGGGCTTATTATAAGTGCTTAAAGTTTTCGAATTATTTTATTTTTTGAATTATTATTACTAACGTAACAGGTGTACACCATAAGTAAGAATAATCAGACCTTACTTTGGAAGTACAAAAATAATAATAAAAAACGAATTAAACATTTTCAAAAGTTTATTTCATATAATAACTTTCGCACTTCAATTAATTGAGAAAAGCTCAACTAGTTTCAAGTCACAACGGGACTCTTATTCATGTGCAGCTTGCGCGTAGCGGCGAAGTTGCACAACCGATAGTTGGTTTATAGTAATTAGATTAGATTAGTAATTAAAACAACAATAAGTATTAAATTTATCACGACTACATTTATGTATATATATGTATGTATGTATTTATATGTGTAAGTATATTAAGTAGTATGTGTTTTATAATATATATAAGTATAGTTGTATGTACTTTATGTATGTTTATATTAACCTATGTTATACTATTCTATTTCGCTTGCTTCATGCATCTACTACTGGATTCTCTGCATCACCCAAAGGTCGACTGGTAGAGAATGCTCAATGCATTAAGTCCGCCTTATGTACATACAAATTGTGCATGAAGTATAAATAAATAAATTTAACGCAAAACAATGTGACAACTAATTATAGTACTTTCATACAATAATTATAATTGTTTTTGTCATTAAAAAAAACGTACCTATCGTCAGACATACCAAATTTATTGCAAACTAGCTTCTGCCCGCGGCTTCGCCCGCGTGGTATGTTGGTGAAAAGTAGCCTAAGCCCCTATTCCGGAGTGTATCCTATGCCTGTGCCGAATTCCATCAAGATAATCAAACATCCAATCATGTTAATTTTCGCATTTATAATATTAGTAAGACTAGCTACTCTGGCGCGGTTTCACTCAATGTTCCGCTCCATTTGAATTCTCCATTAGCAACCAGGAACATTGTAGCTAATTATCAGTAAAAGAATCTTGGAAATTAACCCCCTACCTACATACAAACTTACAACTGAGAAAACCTACACTAATTGCTCCTCTTAACGGGATTCTTTCATTTACTTATTCTTTATAAGCAGCGTGTGGTGTTATATAAAATTAGTATCTATTGTTACCAATGTGTTTTGAAACTAGTACAGCTTCTTTCAATAAATTAACACGTCATTGCGTTATGAGGTCGAACAAACCGTCAAGTCAAAATCCTGTTCTCTCACTCTGGGGTGGGGGGCGATCGTCAATTTTTTTATGAGTAAGTACAACGGAGACAAATATATGTATAACATAGTTTCTCTTACAAAGAGTCTAAAAGCCAAGTTAAAATAAAATAAGGTTGAAAAGGACTGTAAAGTTTCGAGCAATTTCAAACAAACGTTTTGTGTGAAAATTACCCATACGCACTGCAAGGTTCGTTAACTTTCTCTCGAAAAGACCTCAAACGAATTACCTGAAAGTCTTCAAAAAGAAATTAGTTCGCAGCGAACGTGTTGCAAAACTTATTACTGGCTGTCTTTATACCTAATTCGATACAAACTGTAAATCGTAGTTATAATCAAATTATAACAATCATGTTATTTGTTCTGTGTTATTTGTTTGTTCTTTCCTTTCACGGGACCACAGGGTCCCGGACCTTTGGAAGGCGTACGAGGAGCCGAAGCCAACTCGCAGAGGCCCGTTGAACAGTTTTAATCTAAATGTGATGGGACATCAGCCGGCAATTATCCCTGTATGCGCTATATAAGTGCACCCAAGGACAATCACCGGTCGATGCAAGACTATTGTGAAATGTGGTAAAAATTGATAGGGTTATGAATATGGGTTGCTATGGACTGGTGGATATGATAACTATGGAAATACTATTCTTCTATTGTTCTGTGTTATTATTATTATTTTGTTGCATCGTCGTATAATGTAGGTACCTACCTAGGTTTTTCAATTGAATGTAAGCGTAGGTCAAAGGATTTTGTAATTAATATACATAGAAAACGATTTGTTTTACAATACATAAAAAAACACCTAAGTAATTAAAATACATCAATAATAAATAATGAGTGAATATTGAATCGAATAATGGCTAGATGATTACATTTGTAATGTTATTTTTTCTGGGTCGATCGCATTTAAAATATAAAATTAAAATTTTATTGGTATTTTTCTTCAAGGTCAAAGCCATTGGGTATAGAGTAATTACACTAAGAAGCATTCTTTGCAATAGACAACGTTCTAAATTTGAACAAAACGGCTAGCTAACTCGCGTGATATTGTTGAGAAAAGCGCGGTGTCGTCTCGCTATCGCCATCTCAATGATTATGTTAAAAGAATCATGTTATAATTTGAAACTAGAAGAGTCAGATTTTCAGCTAATTTGAAAAAAAAAACCGAAAAAATGCCTAGCACGGAATATATACCAAATGACAATAGTGGTACTTATTTGATGATCAGAGTGGAAGCATATTTACACATACCTTTTTCTAAAAATTTTTTTGGATCGGGCTGACGTTAAATTCCTTCCGATCGATCGTTCTATTATTGTCATTTTGTTCAAGAGGTTATAAATAATCAATAATCGATTGCATAACGAACAAAGGCGATTAATAATTGATAATTTAAATATAGAACACTTTGTTCATAATGTTCTAGTTGCTTGTTTATTTCATTGAGAAGTAGCAAAGTGCAATTTCGTTTCAAAATGGAGGCGTGTTGGCTTTTTTCGTTGTGAAGTTTTTTCACAACGTTATAATAATCCAAAAACTAAAATGGTATTTTCGAATGAAAGTAAACTTATGTGCATAAAACGAAACGTATTACCTATTTAGTATTTTTTCTTATTAAGTACTAAGGAGGTACTAACTTCATGTAGTCATTATAACGTGTTTTCATTTAAATTTCAGATAAATTCAAGCCAGTTCTAAATCACCTGCTTTACCTAGCCGATGAACAAAACGCTTTCTCTGATACTGAAATTCGAGAACATTTGAACACTTTTGTGATTGCTTCTTACGACACTTCTACTGTAACATTCACACTTTTATTGATGATGATTGGATGGCATAAGGATGTACAGGATCGGGTTTACAATGAGTAAGTATCTTAGAGAATGGTTGTGTACTTCAACTGTACTTACTGTTATTTATTTTTTTAAGCTGGAAAACCACTTGCATTACCTATATATTAATAGACTCTTACTGACTAAAAACCCCCCGTTCCTTCTCCTGCTCTGGGCTGAGGTCGCGGTGTCTCATTACGCTTAACCCTGCAACCTCAGATGAGCATCAGCCCTATAGGGCCCCGTCTGTGGTGGTCTATTGGCTCATTGAGGCGCGCGCGGAACGCTACGCGCCGTACACTTGGGTAAGGGTGGGAGTTAGTAAGTGTCTGACACTTCCTCTATCATTCCGATATTATAAAATCGGTAAAAATGTTACTGTTGTCAAACACAAGGCAAGCATTGTGCTTCGCTGTGTGAGTGAAGTATGCGGACGCATTATTCTCATATAAAAATCTTCAATCCTCAAATCTGTCATAGAAATTCACTACGTATGCCCAACTCTCCTATAGCAAAATCTCTTATCCTCAAAGTATCTTTTACAGCTTTGGCGTTACGATATTTTTATTTGTTAATCATTTATAACAAAATAATTATCAATTTTAAATAACCAAAACCAGGTTTTATAGGGATGGCTACAGGTGAATAATGACCATTAGTTGATGTCTGAAACTATCGCATTAAATAATAACCTCTTCTCTTTACCCTTTCCAGGATTCAAGAGGTATTAAATCACGAAGACAGAGACTTCACAAAGAATGATTTACCAAAATTAGTGTATTTGGAAGCAGTAATTAAAGAAACATTGAGGTTGTACCCCACTATACCGTATATCGCTCGACAAGTCAACAAAGACCTCAAATTAGGTGCGTAAGAAATATCTTTAACTATACTAATATTATAAATAGGAAAATTTGTAAGTTTATATGTAGGGGGTAATCTTTGGAACCGCTGGTCGGATTGCAATAATTCTTTAACTGATAGATAGCTGCAATGTTTCTGAGTGCTATAAGCTATAATAAATCAACACCCTACGATCAAATGGAGCCGAGCAGCGGGTGAAACTGCATGAGCGTAGCTAGTTAGGTATATAACAAACTATATACTCTCGTTTTCACGCGTTCAACTTGACTACATAGAGGCACAATCTAAGTTTTCTCAAAATTTGCTTTCTAACAGCTGTTTCGCAGGTGATCCGCAGTCAAATCAAGTCAAGTTTATTTATGTAAGAATTTATAATTCAAACTTACAAAGCTAATGAGTGTAAAATTATATTTCAGGAAAATATACCTTACCATCTGGTAGTACGTGTGCAATTTCATTGCATGGTATCCATCGACATCCCATGTGGGGTCCCGACGCTGATCAGTTCAAACCAGACAGATGGCTTGATCCTGCCCGGCTGCCAAACCATCCAAATGCCTTCGTAGCTTTTGGTGTAGGAAAAAGATACTGTATAGGTAAATATTTTCTCATTGTAATTATTTGCTTACGTTAACTTTTAAACGAGACGGCGACTAAAGAATAAAATTGCATATTGTCTTTTAGAACGCGTATACAGACAACTAATCAAGCACTCCTTCAATCATAAAAAGATTGAAAAAGAAAAAGAAAAGCACAGATAAACACGATCGATACATTACACAAAATTATTGTCTCTTTTTGAAAATTGATGAGCAATTCTTATAGTAATTATCGTGAGACATAGTAAATTTATTTAAATATCACTTGAATTGAATGAGAAAAGCTTAAAGATTGAAATCAGAGCGGGACTCTTATCATGAACTGCGTGTGTGTTAATATTTTCGATACTTAGTATATTGAATTGCAATTTTTATCACTGAAAATTGTAAATATTATATATTGTATTCTTTAATTAATAGTACGTATGTTTTATTTTGTAATGTTTGATAAATTGCAGGCAGACAATATTCCATGATGGTGATGAAGACGACAATAGGACATATAGTGCGACAATACCGCGTGCACAGTGATCTCAGCAAATTGAAATTTCAATATGAAGTTGTACTGCAACCGATAAAGGGTCACCGAATTACATTTACAAAAAGATAAATTAATTTCTCTTAAGATTTTCTTCCATTAAGATTTTTGTGTGTGCTTCGCCGAGTGAGTTAGATTACCGGACGCCCAATCCTTCCCAATCCATCCTTAATCCTCAAATTCCCTATCCTTAAATCCATTATAACCCACAAGAGGTCGGCAACGAACTTGTAGTAACTCCTTTGGTATTGCGGGTGTCCATGGGCGGCGCTGATTGCTTACCACCAGGTAATCCGTATGCTCGTTTGCCGACAAAATTAAATGATATACAAAAAAAAAAAATACAAAAAACCTTTCTGAACTATCATTGACTGGGCCTTTGTGTGATGTGTATCTGAAGTTGTAAGTAAAAGCAAGAAACGAGAACTAACTGCAATGTGACGAAAGTACGTTTGAAAAAGAAATGTTGTTGTTGTTATAGTAGATTTAGATGTAAATATAATGTATCTACGTAGTTTTGTAATTGTAATAAATATTTTGAATTCCTATTAGTGTGTTTGTTTTTCATCTTTATTTAAATAGTGTTACTTTTTGTCTTTTATGGATTAGCAGACCCATAAATCTCATGGTAAGCAATCGCCGCACACCTGTAACGCCATATGGCCTACCTTTCGTTACGATTTTTGGAAGTTCACCGTGAACATGTGCCTGCGGACGGCAAGCAAGGGCAGCTCGCATCCCGACCTACATAACTATTTTGTAAATGGTAAATCTCATCTCGAAAGTCACACACCACTTCGCTTCTCATCTCGCCTGTACACAAACTTCAAAATACTCACTTGTTTTAGTTCCCTTCACTTCGTTATTCACTGTGGTTAATCACATGGCGGCGCCAATGTAGATTTTGCTCCATTTTAACTTTTGACGATAGCAAAGCTGAACGGACGTATGGTGCGTAGCCCTACGCCTGCGCCCTAAAGAGTCAGACCACTACAAAGTAGGCCCCTCTGTAGGGCTGATGTTCTGCCTGATTTGAGATTCAAGCGCTATAATACCCAACAGCCCTGATCTGGAGAAGGGACAAAAACGGGGTGGATTTTAGTTAGTAAGAATCTGACATCCCCTTCTCGTCCAACACAGTGCGGAAGAAGTCAATTGATGATTTTCATACAATACAATACAATACAATCCTGTGCCGAGGTCGCGGTACCTCATTGCGCTTACCCCGCAACCCCGGCTGAACATCAGCCCTTTAGGGCCCCGTCTGTGGTGGTCGAGTGGCTCTTTGAGGCGCGCGCGGAACGCTACGCGCCGTACGTTCGGGCCTGGTTCTGGTCGGGCGGCGAGCTGCCCTTACTCGCCGACCGCAGGCCCGTGCTTACGGTGGCCGGAGATCGTCCCTCGATCCCCGACGCCCGTAGTGTCGCCAGTTGCGGCTGCTGGGGCGTGAGGAGGAGGATTGCTCCCTCACGCGGGCCACCTCTCTCTTTGCGAGCATGACTGCTTCACAAAAGGAGGAGACGGCGTCCCAGTTCCTCTCACTCCGCACCATGGCCTCGACTAAGGCCGGGCGCGAGAGGTCGCCGCCGCCGATCACTTCCCTGAGGATACGGCGGTGCTCAGCCCAGGCAGGGCATACCGCTACCGTATGCTCCACCGTATCCTCTAGGTGGTCCTCACAATGACGACACTCGGGCGTTTCCTCCCGCTGAATCCGAAACAGGAACCTACCGAAGCTGCCGTGCCCGGTAAGCACCTGCGTCAGACGGAAGGTGAGGACGCCGTGGCGTCTCTCAAGCCACTCCTCAAAGAGGGGTCTTACCGCTGCTATGGTAGCGTGCCCGGCCCTCGGTTGCGACAGTCTTTGTTTCCACTCTGCCATGAGATCTTGCCGGAGCTCATTCCGCCACGCACTAATTTGGCGCGGCAGAGGATCTTCGCCCCGGCGACGCGCGTCTGCGCGCAAACTGTAGACGCGCGCGAGCGCCTTCGCTTCTAGATCCCACGGCGGTGATCCGGCAAGGAGGTTCGCCGCCTCCCCGGAGATCGTGCGATACCCGCGGATTACTCGGATAGCCATGACCCTCTGGGACGCGACCAGCGTACGAGCCGGCCGCCGCCTCAAGTCCGGCGCCCACACAGGGGCACCGTAGAGGGCCATGGATCGCACAATCCCCATATACAACCTCCGGAAGGAGGCGTTTGGCCCCCCGAGGTTGGGAAGGAGCCGCTTGAGCGCGGCCCCAGACCGTTCTAACTTAGGGGCCAAACGACGAAAACTCTTGTTAAGGTGAGCCCATTGAAAACAATTCTAGACACAGTGCTATTATTAAGAATTACCAGAAAAAAAGCAACGAAAATTACCCAATACTAAAATTATTAATTCAGTTAATTCCAAGGATGGAGTAAAATAAAGGATTAATGACAAATATTCTATTTGTGAGCCTATCGATTTACATAACTAGCTTGAGAAGGAAATAAAATGTTTGAATGTATATCGTTTTTAAGGTTCCGTACCTAAATGGCAAAACCGGTACCCTTATGTATTTGACATATCGGTCTGTCTGTCTTTTCGTCCATATTTTGAAACCACCTTTTTCGGAAAGCATAAGAACTATAACTGCTGAATCTTGGTACGTAGATGCACTTAGTAAAGTACTTAAAATATTTACCCAAAAATATAAAAATCCAACACATTTTTTTGTCTTATTCTTTATTCTTAAGCCTTTGAGTGCCGAAAATATTATTAAAGATAAATCCTCCGCTATGGTATCTTAGGTCTCCAGTGACTTTTTTTTTGTTAGGGCAATGTCGAAGTCGTCAAATGACTTCTCTGTAGTAGTAGAGAGTGTCAGACTCTTACTTACTAACCCTCCCCCCACGTTTCTTCTCTTGCTCTGGGCCGAGGCCGCGGTGACTCATTGCGCTTAACCCGAAAACCCGGCTGAACATCAGCCCTATAGGGCTCCGTCTGTGGTAGGTCTCCGGTGACATACATATTATGTTTCGGTCAGCATTATATTAAATATGGCATTATATTAAATATGGTACAAAATTATCAATTAATAACTCTTAACAAAGTGGAAAATTATTTCCTCCCTTTAAAAATAAAGGTGATAAAACTAAAATATAGGTAATTTATTAGCTACCCGCCCCTACGCATGGGTGCAATGTTTAACACACGAAATTTCTCCATTACATAAAATAATCAAAACCGCAGTATACACAGCGATTTAGGCATGAAGAAGGCAACTTTGTTCTATATATTTTTTTAAACATAACATAATTATAATTATGTATTTACTATGCAAACTTTCATTGAAAAATCGTTTGAAACAGATGAAATACGCTTCTGCTTCTACTACGGAGCCCTAGATAGGAGGAGGCTCGCACTTGGGCGCTTGTTTTCATTACTCGTATAGATAACTATCAAAATTTATTTATAACTAATGGAACGTGGTATAATTAATGGATAATTAATGGCTATAGTCACGAAAATACCCGGCTGAGCAATGAATAAGACTTATACTTATACAGACAAGGTACAAAAAAAATATTCAGAAAAAGTTAACATTGACAGACAGTTTTTATTAGACATTTTTTATGGAATAGGTCGGCAAACGAGCAGTCTGATTACCTGACGGTTGAAGCAATCGGTGCCGCCCATGGACACTCGTAATATCAAAGGAGTTACTACATGTGCGTTGTAGGCTTCTTGTAAGTTATTAGTGGTCTTAAGATAAAATCTTTAATCTGCTGCTACTCTCTAATCTGTAATCTTTAAACTGGGTTTGGTAGCACGTCAGCAACTAGTTAGGCGAGAGAGAGTGTCAGACTCTTACTGACTAAAAACCCCCCCGTTCCTTCTCCTGCTCTAGGCCGAGGCCGCGGTGCCTCATTGCGCTTACCCCGCAACCCCGGCTGAACATCAGCCCTATAGGGCCCCGTCTTTGGTGGTCCATTGGCTCTTTGAGGCGCGCGCGAAACGCTACGCGCCGTACGCTCGGGTCTGGTTCTGGTCGGGCGGCGAGCTACCCTTACTCGCCGTCCGCAGACCCGTGCTTAGGGTGGCTGGAGATCATCTCTCGATAGATACCTATAGATACAGTAACCTCCCAATGTAGTTCGAATTCTGTATGCCGTACCCATAAGCTTTTAGTGTCTATATATTCTGCCTCTAAGGACTGTTGTTCCAAACCTGGTATGAACTAACGGACCGACACAGAAGGGGCTCAAAAAGTCAGGTGTTCAGCTGGGGTTGTCGGTCAAACGCTATAAGGTGCCGTGTTCTCAGCCTGGAGCAGGTGAAGGGACAGACCCTGAGCGAGTGCAATGATTTGATAATTTAGATACCGGAAAAAAAGCTCCAGTATGATGTGTATGTGATATTGTATGTTTGTACTCGTATGCAACCACGAACCGACAGAAGAAAATTATTGGGTGGGCAAGAAGACACAAGGAGGATGAAAGAGGGAAGTAAATCCACATCTATACTAATATAATAAAGAGGTAAAATTTGTAAGTTTGTATTTAGGGGGTATTCTATGGAACCGCTGGTCGGATTTCCAAAATTCTTTCACCGATAGATAGCTACAATATTCCTGAGTGCTATAGGATATAAAACATCACGCTACGACTAAATGGAGCCGAGGAGCAGGTGAAACCGCGCGAGAGTAGCTAGTATTACATACTTTTGAAACGTCATAAATATAATGGTCTGTTAGTCTTTCCGCCAGTGAACCAAGGTGTTGATTGTATTAATTATGCTCTGTTACAATACTATTTTCTTTATTGACTGCATTGGCGCAGTGGCTCGGCAACTGTTGCGCAACGTGTCGCAGGTTTAATTTCCGCACGGAGCAACTCTTTGTATAATCCACAAATCGTTGTTCTTTGGATATGATGTGTATGTGAAATTGTAAACGCAACCACGACGCAGGAAAAAATCCTAGTGTAGGGAATAGTATTATAATAAAAAAAGTTATATAAAGAGGTATATAATTAATTAATATTAACATTGGTCTTTCATATTAATATTATTAATAAAAAAAACGTTGCCTCACTTTAGGATTT